ACAAACCACTTTCAGCTGGCTCAGTGGTGACCACCATGAGGAGTGATTACTGCCTAGTCTAATTAAATGCAGTTTCCATCCCCAGGTTCAATAACAATAGTGAAGTCTCTAGAGTCAGACTCTGGGTTGAATCTCAACTCTGCTACTTACAAGTGGTGTGAGCTTCAAAAACTACTTAGCCTCTGAGTCTGTTTTCTTATTTTTACATTAAGACTAATAAAAGTAGCTAACTCTTAGATTGTTTTGAGAATAAATCAGATAATTATATATATATAAGGTGCTTTATTTTTTATTAAATTTATCGGGGTGGCATTGGTTAATAAAATTATATAGGCTTTAAGTGTACAATTCAATAATATATCATCTGTATATTGCATTGTATGTTCACATATCTATAAAGTGCTTTAAAAAGTGTTTGCCATGTAACAAGATATAGGTAAATATGCCAATAGTTGAGTCAGTACAGTGGAATGAGAGAGCACAGAGTTGAGCCAGAATGCCTAGATTTGAACCCCAAATGTGACCCTGGAAAAGTTTCTTACCTCTGTATTGTAGTTTCTTGATGGTACACACTCGGGATTTTTGCAAAATCTGGGTTAATACAGATGTAGTACTTACAACAGCAACTAGTACTCCGTTAGCACTAAATAAGTATTTATTAAAAATAACATCTCTGGAGAGTCTGTGTCAGGGATTAGAGGACAAATGAGAATCCTAGTTCCAGGCTCCACCTTGCTGACCTTAATCAAGCCTTGCCACCACGAAACAGGGAACTCATTACATAAGTGCTATTTTGACTTCACTCCAAGGCCTCCAGGCACTTGCTAGCTACTCTGAAATGCCTCCTAAGCCATTACAACTGTATAGGACACCCACTCCAAAAGTTGAGCTCCCATGACATACAAGTGTTAAAAACAATCTTTTGTTTTTGTAGGTGCCCCGTCATGGCAGGTGGATTATTCTCAATTGATAAAAATTACTTTTTTGAACTTGGAACATATGACCCTGGGCTTGATGTTTGGGGTGGAGAAAATATGGAGCTGTCATTCAAGGTATTACCAAGTGTTTCTCAAATTCTATTTACAATTGAGAACATCATTTTTAAATGGTTTCATTTACTAATACAATCACATATGTGACTGCCTCTGGGAGGAAGTGCCACAGAAATTTTAGGGCCTCCAGATTAATGTTTTCATATCTAAGATTGAATTTGGAAGAATCAATAGCGCTCAAGAAATTTATTAGAGTTTTCTAATATTTTACAGCACTGTTTCTGCATCTGAATGTGGGGGAAATAATTGTCTGCTATTCGGTGTAAATGCTGTGGGATTTATATTTGATATAAAATAACTCTTCTGGAACATTTTTCTAATATACTGAAAGTAATGAATCATTCCATTCAATTATGGGCCATCTTGGAGAGCATAAGTGACAAGTATAAAATGTGACTCTATGGTAGGCCACCAACAGGCCATAGTGCAGCAACTTTGGACATAGCAGACAACTCTGAGTATATATATAATCATCAATTAATATCTAAGAAAGCTACTGCACTAGCTATAGTGGAGAACATCCAATAAACAACTGCTTTCCTATGGAGTGTGGTGATATATAATAGAAGGGGTATTACTTTGAGCTCCTGATCAAAAAAGAATGGTTTATGAGTTATGCTAGAAGAAATGGAAATATATACTCCTTTCCTGATTCAACTAGAGCAAGATCTCATTTTACATATTGGGATTCAGTAAAGATTTCTTTCAAAAAAATTTACACTACGGGGAAGGGAGAAAAAATATATTTTACTAATTCTAAAATGATCCACAGCAATACACAAAACTAAATAAATGCATTGAGTTTAATTTTCCATTGAAAAAGATTTTGGAAGCTGAGAGCACTACTTCAGACGGGGAGCTGGGAGAGTTGTCAGGTGGTTTCTTGACATTGTTAATTGCCTGTGATTGATGGACAATCATTTGAGAGTTGATGTTTATCATTGAACTGTTCCAGGTGTGGATGTGTGGTGGTGAAATCGAGATCATTCCCTGTTCCCGAGTGGGCCACATATTCAGAAACGATAACCCATATTCCTTCCCTAAAGACCGGATGAAGACGGTGGAGAGGAACTTGGTGCGGGTTGCCGAGGTCTGGCTGGATGAGTACAAGGAGCTGTTCTATGGCCATGGGGATCACCTCATAGACCAAGGCTTAGATGTCGGAAACCTCACCCAACAACGGGAACTTCGAAAGAAGCTAAAATGCAAAAGTTTCAAATGGTACTTGGAGAATGTTTTCCCTGACCTGAAGGCTCCCATTGTGAGGGCTAGTGGTGTGGTAAGTGAAACAGCAATTTAACATCTGACTCTACAAAAGTAAAATGCCAAAAGAGTTTTGAAAATATGTGAGAAAGAATGAATCATGACATTATTAATAAATACCAAGTATGAGTGCAGATGAGATAAAGCACGGTTAAGGATTAAATATGGTAAACTCGAGGAAGGCTTCTAGGTAGCCATGTTCAATGATTAATTCAGCAAATACCTACTGAGTATCAATAAATTGGGCAGTATTTCAGAAGTGGATTGATCCTTTCTTTGTGGAGCTAAAAGCTGAGTAGAGAAGAAAGATAGTAAACAAATAAACAAGTAAAATGTAAATAAAAATTATAGTAGCTCTCATTTAGGAAACTGGCCACCACTGGTGAAGTCTTCTAAGTTAGAGTGGTCAACTCTCAGGAGACTTTGAAGGCCAAGCCTAAAAGGTAAACTGTCAGTCAAACTCTAAAGAAGAGAGCCCTAGGCAGAGGACACCCTTGTGCAAAAACTCTACTATAGGCGACCATCTGAGAAATTCAAGAACTGGAAAGAAGATGAATGTTGTCAGGGTGTGAAAGAGGGAAGGATGGCACCAGATGAAGTTGAAGTGGGAGGAAAGTCACGTATGTCCTTGTAGGCGAAGGTAAAAGTTTGTTCTTTCTTTCT